GGTATCCTGGTGGTTTCTCGGATGAAATCTGCCAGCGCCTGTCCTTTGACCGAGGTACGGGGTTGGTATTGGATCTCGTATTGTCCCAGCTCGATGGCCCATTTAACAATTCGCCCTGACGCGGTAGGCTGACCTAGTGTCTGCCGAAGGGGTAAGCTTGTGCGAATCACCATGGTATGCGACAGGAAATAAGGCCGGAGTCGTCGCGTAGTGAGGACCAGTGCGTACGCTATTTTCTCGACTTCGGAATATCGGCTTTCCGACGTAGTGAGGATCTTACTAGTATAGTAGATCGGCCTTTGTTGATTATTAACTTCCTTAAACAACACCGAACTGATGGACTCATCGCCCACTGACAAGTATACAAACAGGGTTTCGCCCTTTTCGGGGGTGCTAAGAATCGGCAAGCAAGTGAGAGATCGTTTTAATGCTTCGAATGCGAGCTGGCATTCGGTGGTCCATTCGAACTGAGCTGTTTTCCTTAGTACTTTGAAGAAAGGCAGGCTCTTATCAGCCATTCGTGATATAAACCGAGCTAGGGCTACAACTTTTCCTGCCAAGGATTGGACTTCCTTGATGGAACGAGGAGGTGTCATCTGAAGTACGGCCTCAACTTTATCTTGGTTTACCTTAATGCCTTCCCGATTAACAACGTATCCCAGGAACTTTCCCGCTTGTACTGCGAATGCACACTTAGCAGGGTTCAACTTCATTCCATATAAACGAAGGGTTGCAAAGGTCTCAGCTAGGTCTGCGAGATGCGTAGAGCGCCTCTTGCTTTTAACTAACATGTCATCAACATAAACTTCAATGTTGCGTCCGAGTTGGGCCCGAAACATCCTATCCATTAGTCGCTGATACGTGGCTCCCGCATTTTTCAGGCCGAAAGGCATCACCACGTAACAGTAAGTCCCCGTGGCGGTGACAAAACTTACTGCTGGCTGGTCCTTTTCGTCTAGCGGAATTTGGTGGTATCCCTGCGAGGCATCCATCATGCTAAGTAGTTCGCATCCAGCGGTGGCATCTACAAGCTGATCTATGCGAGGTAAGGGATAATCGTCTTTCGGGCAAGCCTTATTCAAGTCCCGAAAATCGATACACATTCGCCATTGGCCATTGGCTTTCTGCACTAACACCGCATTGGACAGCCATGTAGGGAACTGAATTTCCCGGATGTGTCCGATCTCCAGAAGTCGCTGCACTTCCTTTTGTATGATTTCGTCCTTTTCGGTACCGAAGTGCCGTCGTTTTTGTTTGACAGGTTTACACTCGGGCCGCAAATTGAGCCTGTGCACAACAGTACGAGGTGAGATACCAGTTAGGTCACTTGGTTGCCATGCGAAGACGTCTTCATTACATCGTAGTAACGCTATTAGCTCGTCTCGGAGAGATGGTTCTAAATCCTTGCTTATCCGGGTTTGTTTCATCATTCCGGGGACGAGATCAATCATCATTAATTCGTCCATAGGTTGTACATGATTAGTCTTATCCTCGGGGTCAATTCGAGGGCGTTTCTCGTCTCCCAAATCTTCTTTGGTGAGGGTATCACGTCGGCCTTTCTCTGCTACTTTAACCATTTCGACATAACACGATCTCGATTGGGCTTGGTCGCCCCTGACCTCTCCCACCGTTCCATCAACTGGATACTTAAGCTTTTGATGAATGGTTGAAGGGACCGCCCGAAAGGTATGTAACATCGGTCGCCCTATCACGATATTATACGAGGTTGGCGATCCTTCGACAATGACGAAATTGACGGTTTGAGTGCGTATTCGAGGTGGCGTTCCTATAGTGACGGGGATTTTAACTTGTCCAACCGGCGTCAGGGATCCTCCCGTGAACCCAAATATCGGAGTAGTGACAGGGAAGATTGGGAGGTCAAGCTCCATTTGCAGGAAACATTCGTAGGATATGACATCCACCGAACTTCCTGGATCAACGAAGGCGCGAGCGACATCGTACCCCCCAACGTTAATCGTGATGAGGAGAGGGTCACAATGGAAATCCTCTAGGTCCGCTTCATCTTCCGGACCAAACGAGATAGTGGGATATTGACGATACTTCGGTGTCGAGATTTGGCAAACCTCATGATTATTTTTGAGGCTACCGAGGTGGCGTCTCCTAGCCCGGTGAGTATCTCCTCCCGTAGGACCCCCCGAAATCATCTGAATGTACCCTCTTTTCGGTGCTGGTGGTGGTGGCGGTGCTCGTGGCGGGTTCCCAAACTGGGCTTCACGCTTTTGTCCCCGAGGTGAATCTATCTTCACAAAATCCCCGATTTTGTTATCTCTGATGAGACGTTCCACTTCGTCCTTCAGATGTGCGCAATCGTCGGTCGTATGTCCATATTCATTATGAAAACCGCAAAAAGTACCCAACGTTGGATCTCGACGGGGGGCTCCGCGAGCAGTTCGAGGCCATCGAAGATCAGCCCTCTTCTCAATCGCGCACAACACCTGGGACAGAGGAGCCGTAAGGGGCTGATATGATTGAAAACGAGATCCCTTAGCCTCCGGGACAATACTCCGACTAGGGGCATTGGCATCCCTGCGAGGTAACATGAGCTCCCTGCCTTTCTTTACTTCGCTGACTCGTGCATTTGCGACTTGGTGAGATTCTTCCACTTTCTGTTGGCGGGCCTCTTCTAAATTGATGAACCTAGATGCCCTTTCTAATAGGTTATCGAAATCAGGGGACGGCTCCAGCGCCAAAGCTCGGAAAAACTCATCATCTCTCAGTCCTTGAGAAAGAGCTGCCATGAGTACCTCATCACTGGTGGTCGGGACTTCCAGGGTGGCCGAGGTGAACCGTTTGATGTAACTCCTGAGGCTTTCTTTCTCCTTTTGGCGAATGCTAAATAGTGACAGGGAGGTTTTTTTGCACTTCTTTGAGCTGGCGAACTGGTTCATGAAAGCCTTGGCAAATTGCTCGAAAGATTGTACGCTCCCGGAAGGCAGCAAACCGAACCAGGCCTGAGCAGATCCGGCTAGAGTGGTAGCGAAGGCACGACATCTCACCCCTTCTGTGAGCTGATGAAGCGATGCTGTATTGTTGAAACGGCTTAGGTGCTCGGCGGGATCCGATGTGCCATTGTACTCGAACGAAATGGGTCGGTAGCTAGCTGGTATGGGGTCATCATCAAGGTGTTTTGCGAAAGGGCTAGATCCCACGAGATCTCGCGCTGGCCTGTTCCGTAAGGCCTTTAATTCATTCATATCGCGTCTCAGGCTGTCTACCTCGGTCCTGACTCTATGACTATCGCCTCTTCGATTTTCCGAATAACTGTCGCCTTCGTCATCAGCTCGTCCCTCGTTCGGGGAATGTCTGGGATCCCTCCTGAGTCGGTTATCGTGAGGTAAACTTTGGGTGTAGTTTCTGATGGCCGCGGTGATCATGGTTTCCACCTCGTCTCGGGTATACGTGCGCTCATGGGGAGCCTGAGCGGGGGTTGTGGCTGGCCTTCTCGAAGCAGCTTCGCCATCCTGGAACTCGAAAGAGGGGCTGCTTGGAGCGAAGGGGATCCGGCCCTCCTTTTCAGGTGTAAGGAAGCTACACCCCGATTTATCTTTCTGAACGGACGATGGGTCAACCGGTGCACCACGGGCTACCGCATCCAAATCCTTCTGCAAATTCCGGGCGACTGCGTCTTCTCCGTCCATTCTTTCTCCACGTTCTCAGCTCAGATCTGGACTTCCGGGGGTAGATCTGATTTTTCCCGGAAGCTGTTTTTCCAAAACTTCAAGCTTTCCCACAGACGGCGCCACTTGATTTGGTCCGTGGGGCTCTTCCTCGCGTCCTCTAAGCTCTCTGTCGGATTCCGGTAGAAAAAAGACCTGCAACGCCGGGAGGTGTTCCCGGCGGGAAAGCTCCGACGATCAAGTTAGTATGATTTCAAAGCGAGTTTTTAGAAAGTACGTAAAAGTGTGTGAAAAATGTATATTCTCTGTGTGGAAAAACGCAATATCATTCCCTATTTATAAATGAGGAAACCTTGGCCTCCAAGGTTTCCTTTTTAGGGTTTTTTCCCCCCTCAAGCCATTGTGTGTATTGGGCCTTTTATAACCCTGGGCTCGATTTACCACGAGCCGATACTGGGCCTGCGAGCCGAAGTTCCGCAGTTCGTCGTTGAGGTCGTACGACCTAATGGTCTTTTTATATCATTGGGCTGAATTGCCATGGGCCTTTTGTCGTGGGCCTAATTCGTATTGGATCTTTCCAGAATGGCCCGTATCACGGTGTAATAATATCGCGATATAAAATGATATAACTCGGCATATGTATCGATTGTAATCAAAGAATGCTAAATATCGCTCTATACCTTGACAATAAAAGATATCTGATACGATACGATAATTACGACAACACGTTTAGGGGTGATTTGTGCGACTTTCAACATCTTTCACTAGTAGAAAAATAGTTTTTTACTACGACCATTAACCGTATCAAAATGTATCAAATTCGTAGTAAAAAGGCTTTTGCTATGCATTTGCTATGAATTTGCCCGGTAGTATATACGGGCGTGACAAAAACTTTGCTACGGTAAATGGCCGTACCAAATACTTTTTTGCTACAGTAAATCCTAATATTTACTACGACTTCTAAATTATCCCGTAGTAAAAAGTCCCTTTTGTTACGGCTTTTGACCGTAGCAAAATATTTCGTAGTAAAAAACAAATTTTCTACTAGTGTTTTAGGGTAATTTGTGCGATTTTGTTTATAATATATATATTTTTTAAATTAAGGCAAAACCACAAAAAAATACTTCAGATAAAAGCGATCTATATTAGCAAAATGTAATAAAACCAACGTTAGCATTTCTAAATATTGCGACTATTGTCATAGTCAATAATTTAATGTTGAAACTTGAATCTAAATCCGTTTTGAACGAATGGTTTGACTTTAAATATTTTGTACTATTTGTAATAGTTAATCAAATATCTTACGATATATACCGATACGATAACCATGGTTCGTATCCATTCACCAATTCCAGTTTTGGCTCAAACAGGAACCAAACTCTCAATAAATTGACAAGAAAATTTACTCCGAAAGGATCGAAACTGCAACTGATCATCCTCTTTATAAATCTCGCTACTCGTGAAATCACACAAAACCTCGAATCTCCTATCCAAAAACCAGTAACAAATAATCTTCCCCGGTGCAAGAAGCAAAACCGAAGAATATTCTTCCTTTTCGCCCCTCACAATCCCGAGCAACCCAACGGGTCCCTCGTCAACCTCCAGAAACGGGCCCAAATCAGCCCAACATTTCTCGACCCAACCCGAATTATGATCCGACAACAACTCGTACACAATCAAACATTTGACTTTCGGACCGAAATAGGTGCTGACACAATGCACGCGCCCGTTCGATACCAAGAGTTTGTTCTTGTTCGAACAAGGACGCATTTTTCTGCGGTGGGCGTAGTTCCCCGACAGCTTTTCCAAATGCCGGGTTCGGATATTGAAGTAGTACGATTCTGGAGAAGTGGGCTGGATCCAATATATCCCGTCGTTATTACACGAAAGCCCTTTCGATAACCTAATGCCGAGGAGACAGCGGTAAATATCTCCGCCCGGAACATGCTCCCATCTGTCGAACTCCGAGTGGTAGATCTCGAAGCCGATTCCGGAATAGGGTAACGGTGATCTCCTCGTACAGATGATTTTGTAGTACGGGGAAGTACGAGGGTCGTACGACAGCGACATCCCCAGAATCCACGTCAGCATGTTCTTGTTTTCGTGCATGTTTTCCAATTTCTTCGACTGATTCGTCGTGGGGTTGTGCACGCGGTAGTGCACGCGCCCGAACTGCGAGTTTCTGCACGCGAGTAGCAACAGGCCGTGGCTGGATTGGAGGATTTTGGTGTACGGGTGTTGGAAGGTGTACGGGAGGAAAACCCTGGTGGTGGGGTTGAAGTAGAAGAACTCCGGCGGCTCGGCGGCGGTGCCGAGGATTAAACTGGGCTGGGTTTCGCGGCGGCGGCTGTGGTGTTTGGTGTGGGCGGCGCCGAAGAGAGGGGCGGAGATGAGAGATTGCCAGCGTTTGCTTACTGACTTGAATTTGATGAGGGATCTCGCCGGGAGGCGGAGGAGGATTAATTCCGTCAGTAAATCGTCGTTGCCGGCGATTATCTCCGCCGATTGTTGGGAACGTGATCTTTTGGGATCCATCTTTTCCGTAGGGTTTGGGATAAGTCTTTTTATTGAGAGAGAGAGAGGAGGAGAGAGAGAGAGTTATAATTGAGGAATAAGTCGTGTATTTATATTGTTTCTCAAGGACTAGTTAGTAATTACCAACTCTACAATAAATAAATAAATCAACAAATCAAATAACATTAAAATTACGTTCAATATTATAATTAGGGGTGGTAAATGAGCCGAGTCGGCTCGCGAACTCGACGAGCCGGCTCGACAAAGGCTCGAACTCGAGCTCGAGCTCGAGCCCAAATTTAGTTGTTCGACAGCTCGTGAGTCGGCTGGCGAGCTGCCTTTTTTTTTTTTTTACTTTATATATATATATATATATATATATATA